ATCTTTTAGTTTTTGGTGTGAATAAAAAATCAAAATGGAATTCATGTGTAAAGCCTGGAAATGTAACTAATAAACAGAGTAAATGTTATTTTAATGCCAGGAATGCCTGCATTATTTATTCCAGACCCTATTTTGAAATTGGAGTATTTTGAACTTTGTGTGAAATTGGCCAAATTACCAATTTCCGATAGCTTCACTGGGTAGCTGAATAAGTTGATTGGGCGATTTCTTGTGCCCAATAGATAAAATCAATCACATACTAGCAAAATAGCTAAGAATTTAGTCTAATGAAACTATGTAATTAGCCAAAAATATAACTCAAAGTGGGCAAAATCGCCAATGCATAAATATCGCTGACACGATAAAATTTGTGAATGTAATTTTGTCAATTTTTTTATCAAATTTCGTACTTTTTGCTTTATTACCTTCAGAAAAGAATTCTCTACCATTACATAAGAAAAAATAATATATTTTTTTTAATTATTGTACCCTGTGGAGAATTTTCAGATTGGGGGTCTGGACCCTCAAAGGGTTAGGGGTAAATAAACATCACAGTTATTTCAATACAAGTAGCTATAAAAGAATGTAGTCAGTTATCGTGATGTGTGTAACTTGTATCTTAGGGTAGAGACGATGTTACTGGCCAATATGATGCATCTTTTGAGAAATTCACTCGCCTACCACTCACTAAAACCCACCCTCACACCTGCCCTGCACTCCCTAATCACCCTTGCACCTTCCTCTCCCACATTCTTCCCTGCACCACTGTATGACCCTCTCAAGTTTAGCACTTTATTTAATTATATTACTATTATTATTTGAACAAAACACACTTAAGGGGGAGGGGGGTTCAAAGACCCTTTATTCAAGGCACTGGAGCTACTCTTCCTTACATCAAATATACTTTCCAGCTCTCAGTCACTGTAATTCCTAAAGGTTTAGAGTTTCCACATCAATATAATAATATTAATAATAACAATAATAATAATAAAGCACACGTAGTGCATTAAGTTGGAGCAAATATATTTTTGAAAAATGAGAGACCTGGTATAAAATTTACAGAAATATTTCCATGCCCAATTTGTCTCCTTAATAGGTATTAAGATTTTTTTTTTTTTAACACTGGCCATTTCCCACTTGTCAGTAACAAAATTTTATATAAAATATATTTAAAATTAAGCTAAAATTCTAGATAGGCTTAATTCAATCAAGACAGGTTCACTGATTCTGTCGAGAGGCTCTTGATCCAAAAAAACTGGATCTCTCCATCCCTTTCTTGGATGGAACCTGATTACCTCCTATACCCCAAATACTGTATGGCTTCTGCAGGTTTACCTCTTCCCCTACATATAATAATAATAATAATTACCATAATCTAAGAGATAAACAAATAAGGATAAGTAAATATCAACACTTACATCCTCAGAGGATTGGTTATCGACTGAAAAAATTTAAAGGTCATAACTTTCTCTTAACGTCATTTTTTTTAGTAACTTAAGGATTTTGTCAAAATGCTATTACTGATATTTTTCAAACTTTTTTTTTGGATAAGAGAGATGTCTGCCTGGTTCAAATATGAAGGAATGTGATGGGCAGTCAAATACCAAAATTCCTAGGATAGAACCTACGAGGTTCATACAGTAATCAGGGTAACGTTGATTGTTATGCTGAAATAGCTTATTTAGATGTTCTTGCACCTGTAACAATTCTGCACTATATATTTTTTTAACATTTCAGTCATCTCCCACCAAGGCAGGGTGACCCAAAAAAGAAACACTTTCACCATCATTCACACAATCGCTTGAGGTATCTGTGAAGACAAAGAACATTATTCAAAAAGGCAAAGAATGGAATGTATGAGCGTAGGAATGTATGAGTGTGGGAATGTATGAGTGTGGGGGAATGTATGGGTGAGGGAATACATGAGTGAAGCATGGACTGTAAATACTGCTGCAAGGAAGAGGCTGGAGGCAGTGGAGTGATTATGTGTGAATGATGGTGAAAGTGTTACTTTCCTTTTTGGATCATGCTGCCTCGGTGGGAGACAACCGAAGTGCTAAAAAAAAAAAAATCACGTTTCCAGGACCATAAAAGATTTTTATCAGATCTCTACAAGTAATAATGGCAGACCAGCATAGATTTCATCTCAAGTTAAAGCAGCTTTCAATTATGATCCTTATCTTTATGAATACCGTATTCATATTTAAAACACTTCCATTAAAAACAGTCCTGTCACTATCAAACCCCTGATTTTAATTGTAACCACAATATGCCTTAGGGAGAAATAATTTAGCAATGATCTTATCAGCACTTGTAACTTGTAAATGAATTACTTGACCTGACATAAGTTTATTTCTATGTATCTGATCTTCTACCTGCATGGCCAAGAGAGACTAAACACACTCAAGTACTGAGCATCAGATGTATGTGATTTTAATTGTAATTGATGACTATTATCATTCAAATCTTAGCATTAATCTTCCTATGAGAGCAAAGGGTAAATTCGTTAGAAAAACATTTCCTTATGAAGCTTATTTCCATTTTGTTGTTCTCAAGACAATGGTATATACTGTACAAAGTTTATATCTAAATGATAACTTTTTGCCAGACTTGAGACAACTGAAGCAGATTTTTTTTTTTAATACGTCAGCTGTTTCCCACCCAGGCAGATAATAATAAAAATAAAACAGCACATAGAGTACATAATGACAGCAAAAGAAAAAAGGTCTAATCAGGTCTGGCTGTAATTGAGTGAATAACGAGCAGCACATAAATGGCTTTACTGTTTTGTCCTGTAACAGAAAATTTGTAAATAGCCAGAGTGAAGCTTATTACCAGTTCTAAACTTTCAAAACTATATTTTCTAAATAAGTATAATTTAAAAATATCTTCTGAACTTCAAATTTTCCAACATGTACTTTTATGTAACAGTAAATTCTAAAATTTGCAAGTTTACAATATTATAAATACTCGCTAGCAAATTTCTGTAATGGCTGGTTCTGGGTGCATCAAAATAATTGAATGATAAGTAATGGAAAATGTGAAAACAGATCAAGAGTAGAGGTGCAATGTGTATAATACATCATCATGAACTTTGTGAGGCCTTTTAAAACACTACTAGAAACTACAAGAGCAGTAAATGGAGCTATTTATTTAGTGGAGTCTTGACAAGTTCAGCTAGACTGTGGGACCTATCTTTAAAGTAGACAGTTTGGTGAACCAGATTTTCAACTTAGAAATGTGATTAAGGTCAAAATTATATTGGTCCCCAGAATTCTCTTAAAATAAACTAGAGCCCAAAGCAAAATAAAACCATGACTTACATGCATGAAAATATGTATATGTGGAACATTTTATTACTTGGAATTTTAAGTTTTCTTCATAGTTCACTTAATATTATACAAGACTAACTACTGCAAATATCCCACACTTTCTGAATAAACCTTTATGAAACAAATATTTGCATACAAAACAAGAGATGGTCAGATCAACAGAAAGAGGGAAAAGGTAGATTTGTTTTATACAAGACTAAGATATATTACTTTTCATGGGCTTTAAGATACATATTACTTTTCATGGGATTTAAAATACATGTTACTGTTCATGGGATTTAAGATACATGTTACATTTCATGGCAATGCTTAAAAATATTATACTTATCTTACTAGTTTATCCTCAAAATTCAGAAATATTCAGATATTCTCAAGGTTGTTTTATCTAGAAACACAAATGCTGTATAGGTATTACCAACAATTATCTGGTTCCTTTGGAAGAAAGGTGCACTGAATTCTCAACAACTCCAGATGATCAGGATGCAGAGGTATAATACCAATGGATATGGGTATAAAGACATAATAGTATATAGAATGAGAAGAAGAGAGAAGTTAAGAGAGTGGTGAAGCAATGTAAAAAGAGAGCAAATGAGAGAGTGGGTGAGATGTTATCAACAAATTTTGTTGAAAATAAGAAAAAGTTTTGGAGTGAGATTAACAAGTTAAGAAAGCCTAGAGAACAAATGGATTTGTCAGTTAAAAATAGGAGAGGAGAGTTATTAAATGGACAGTTAGAGGTATTGGGAAGATGGAAGGAATATTTTGAGGAATTGTTAAATGTTGATGAAGATAGGGAAGCTGTGATTTCGTGTATAGGACAAGGAGGAATAACATCTTGTAGGAGTGAGGAAGAGTCAGTTGTGAGTGTGGGGGAAGTTCGTGAGGCAGTAGGTAAAATGAAAGGGGGTAAGGCAGCCGGGATTGATGGGATAAAGATAGAAATGTTAAAAGCAGGTGTGGGATATAGTTTTTGGAGTGGTTGGTGCAATTATTTAATAAATGTATGGAAGAGGGTAAGGTACCTAGGGATTGGCAGAGAGCATGCATAGTTCCTTTGTATAAAGGCAAAGGGGATAAAAAGGAGTGCAAAAATTATAGGGGGATAAGTCTGTTGAGTGTACCTGGTAAAGTGTATGGTAGAGTTATAATTGAAAGAATTAAGAGTAAGACGGAGAATAGGATAGCAGATGAACAAGGAGGCTTTAGGAAAGGTAGGGGGTGTGTGGACCAGGTGTTTACAGTGAAACATATAAGTGAACAGTATTTAGATAAGGCTAAAGAGGTCTTTGTGGCATTTATGGATTTGGAAAAGGCGTATGACAGGGTGGATAGGGGGGCAATGTGGCAGATGTTGCAAGTGTATGGTGTAGGAGGTAGGTTACTGAAAGCAGTGAAGAGTTTTTACGAGGATAGTGAGGCTCAAGTTAGAGTATGTAGGAAAGAGGGGAATTTTTTCCCAGTAAAAGTAGGCCTTAGACAAGGATGTGTGATGTCACCGTGGTTGTTTAATATATTTATAGATGGGGTTGTAAGAGAAGTAAATGCGAGGGTCTTGGCAAGAGGCGTGGAGTTAAAAGATAAAGAATCACACACAAAGTGGGAGTTGTCACAGCTGCTCTTTGCTGATGACACTGTGCTCTTGGGAGATTCTGAAGAGAAGTTGCAGAGATTGGTGGATGAATTTGGTAGGGTGTGCAAAAGAAGAAAATTAAAGGTGAATACAGGAAAGAGTAAGGTTATGAGGATAACAAAAAGATTAGGTGATGAAAGATTGAATATCAGATTGGAGGGAGAGAGTATGGAGGAGGTGAACGTATTCAGATATTTGGGAGTGGACGTGTCAGCGGATGGGTCTATGAAAGATGAGGTGAATCATAGAATTGATGAGGGAAAAAGAGTGAGTGGTGCACTTAGGAGTCTGTGGAGACAAAGAACTTTGTCCTTGGAGGCAAAGAGGGGAATGTATGAGAGTATAGTTTTACCAACGCTCTTATATGGGTGTGAAGCGTGGGTGATGAATGTTGCAGCGAGGAGAAGGCTGGAGGCAGTGGAGATGTCATGTCTGAGGGCAATGTGTGGTGTGAATATAATGCAGAGAATTCGTAGTTTGGAAGTTAGGAGGAGGTGCGGGATTACCAAAACTGTTGTCCAGAGGGCTGAGGAAGGGTTGTTGAGGTGGTTCGGACATGTAGAGAGAATGGAGCGAAACAGAATGACTTCAAGAGTGTATCAGTCTGTAGTGGAAGGAAGGCGGGGTAGGGGTCGGCCTAGGAAGGGTTGGAGGGAGGGGGTAAAGGAGGTTTTGTGTGCGAGGGGCTTGGACTTCCAGCAGGCATGCGTGAGCGTGTTTGATAGGAGTGAATGGAGACAAATGGTTTTTAATACTTGACGTGCTGTTGGAGTGTGAGCAAAGTAACATTTATGAAGGGATTCAGGGAAACCGGCAGGCCGGACTTGAGTCCTGGAGATGGGAAGTACAGTGCCTGCACTCTGAAGGAGGGGTGTTAATGTTGCAGTTTAAAAACTGTAGTGTAAAGCACCCTTCTGGCAAGACAGTGATGGAGTGAATGATGGTGAAAGTTTTTCTTTTTCGGGCCACCCTGCCTTGGTGGGAATCGGCCGGTGTGATAATAAAAAAAAATAATAATAGAATGAGCTTTTATTAGGATTATATTTTTGCTCAGGGTTTATTATTATTATTATTATTATTATTATTATTATTATTATTATTATTATTATTATTATTTTGTCGACAAACCAGATGCATCTCACCAAGGCAGGGTGACCTAAAAATTTAGTAATTTATACAAGAGAAGGGGTTACTAACCCCTTGCTCCCATTAGTATTATTATTATTATTAATCATGTAATACACTCAACATGTACAGGTCACGAAGTGCCAAAAGGCTGTGTGGAGGTCTAGGCCAAGGGGCACAATGCAACAATTGAACTAACAAGGAAAGTTAAAGTTGGTGTAATAAATCACTTTCAATAAAAAAATAAGCAGCATGCTGAGTCTCTCTTTACCCTGAGGTAAAGAGAGACCAATTGAAAGTTTGTTCTACATATTCTGCCTTTATACCCAAACCAGATGATCATATTTTTTAATGGTCCCTTTGCTATGCACACTTCTTTTTCGCAGCATCTGCCTAGGTGCCAGATAGAACAAAAACTACCAATTACCAGATAATCGACGATCTCTATATTTTTTAACTCGCCTCATTATTACACAGGAACTGCTAAACAGAGAGACTATCAAATACATTAATGGTCTCAGAAGCATAAGATGTAAATCTGGACAATCAAACTTATTTATCTGTAAAATCCTAAAAAATAAACAGAATTACAACCTACTTCTTATTTGGGGAAGGATTTTGTGCTTTAAATGTGCATTAGTCAGTATAGCATCAAAATCTAAAGTCAAATCTTCTTTTTATGTCATGACTAGAAAACTCTCAAGTCTCTTGAAGCATCCAGTTGTTCTAGTATACACACTTGTTAAATGAACATGTAAAATTTATGACAATCTCATTTCTAAATTTAAGTATCACTCTTCTATACCTATATTAAAATATACCTCTTAGTATATTTAATAAATATGTAAGCGCTGGAGATCTTAAAATGAAAAATAAGCAAGTTATAAGTACTACATGCAAAAATATGAATATCATCAATTTACACCATTAAGTTTATCAAATATATAGTTATGAGACCTAGTATTTATATGGCTGGTATGGCTGACAACTCCAGCCCCGGGAAATGCTTATTCTAGTTTTAAGTTACTTTCAAAATAAACAAACAATTTATGCTAGATATTTCAGAGCTCAAACATGAATTATTTAATGTCAGATCATTAAAGTATATCTGCACAATATGTATTAGAATGTATAAAATGAAGCAGATTCAAGGACAGACACTGGATTTAAAATGAGATGGCCTGATTAAAGACCCCAAAAAAAATGTCAGGTAACTAAGTTCATGAAGAAACTGCCTACTGTAATAATTAATGACTTGTGTTTACTACCATAATAAATCTCCATCACATCAACACTGCATAACACATTATGCCTGCTTGGAATGTCCCATCAGTAGGAGAGCTAGCTAGAGTTCATACTAAATCCATAAAAGTATCTATACATCAATGAAATCTACTGCATACACATACTGGAAACCCAATACATTGCATTTTCTATATTCTAAATCTGCTCACCATAATAAATGTTTTTTTCACTGGAAGTAATGATAGTTAGGAATCAAAGACAATTCATAACCTCAGTATCATAAAAAAAAAATTGTCACTTAAAAATATACAAACACTGCAACAAATACTTCTCACATCTTCATAAGCCAGTATCCAAGATTCAGGTGTTATATTACTGTCCTGATAGAAAAAAAAAAAAAGCCACAACATTTGAAAGTCTGATTTTATAAGTCATCATTTGAGACACGACTAACTTGCACTCAAGTGTTTTCAGTCCAACACACACCTTGAAAACCAGGTTTGTTATAGGAGATAATGCTTACGACTGGAGTACTTATGGACCTACAGCAACAATCCTTTCACACGCACTAAACCTTTCAAACTTGTACCTTGCATTGGCAACTGGAAACAATTTTGCCAATTAAAATGAGAAAAACCTCATTATAGCCCATCAGTAATAACCTTAATTACCTTCAGGCAAGATTTGTATCAAGGGCTAAAATAATGTTCATCTGATGTTCATATACCATACAATAACTGTAGAGTATACTTCTTAGCAATTTAATTACTTAGAGGTGACTGGTGTTAAAAGAAATAAATTTTAATGTATGTGATGTACAGAGCCCAGGCTAGTACAATCCAGTGGCAGGAGAACAGTGGATTCTCTCCATCAGCATACTTACGAGAAAAGAACTTGAATGTTTCGTCAACTATAATGACAGGGAAAGATATTTTTAACACTGCGATCCACTGTGCTACAGAAAGCGGCTGTACTTGGAATACTACCTGTACAAAAGACAAAGATTAACATGTTAGTTATCATTTCATCTATTCTACTTCTCCAACAAATTATAAATAAGAGGAGAATGCTTTAATTGCAACTCATTTCATGCACTTCACCTTTACTATTTCCATTTTCAAACTCTGTAAAACTTTTCCATTTCTTTAATTTAGAATGCTAAATATTGCAGTCCTTTAAAGTGGATAGTTTTTGTAAACAAAATTACTTTTACATATCTAACTTATCTGCATCCTATTAAATAATATCTTAAAAGTAACAAAATAATAAATACTTTACAATTAATTCAAATATTAATCAAAGGGCTAATTTTTAGTTAGCTATGGTATACAAATAACCCACACATAGGAGACAAACTTATAACGACATTTCAGTCTCCTATGCACGGATAATTTGTGTATTGTTCTGGTCACGGTATTGTGCCTTTTTGTTCTTTAAGCTACAGTACATATAAATAGCTTATATCACCCCTTTTATTATATCCAAACTTACTGCAAGAATGTCAAAGTACAAGATGAAGAAGTGTAGTATCATGGAGAGGGCCATTGCTGCCAGCAACCACAGGTTATACCAGGGAGGCATCACAAGTAACGACTGGTTCTCAGACAAGCTGTAAAAATACACAATAAGATTTATACAATTACTCACACTATGTTCATAGTAACAAAAACTTTTTTTTTGGAAACAGGTGAAGAGAAAAAAAAAAAAGCTCTATAGTGCTCATAGCCAAATGGCATAATACTAACAGCAAGGTAGTTTGGTAATAAACCTCAATAATATATTCCATATGGAGTAGAGCCTCAACCACTTATCATGTCTTGCAGCCATTCCTTATGTCAGTGTTGTCTTGCTGCAGCATTCATTTTCTAAGTGAACAGCTTTATTAATTCTCCCAAACATTGAGTGCTTAGGTCACTATGAGGGAATGTGAATTCCTCACATATTTGAAGCAGTATCTGACCATTTTCCTGGCAACAACTTAATGATTGACCAATACTCAGGTACTTATTTCCAGCAAGGTTAACAGAGGCATATGGAGGCTAGCTCAAATGTCTTGCCAGGCCTGGTTACTTGCCTCATGGGATCCAAAGGGATTATTTTTTTTTTCTTGGGACAGAAAGAGAAGCAACTGGATAGAACCTTTTCTGTTTTTTTAACGTGTCGGCCGTTTCCCACCGAGGCAGGGTGACCCAAAAAGAAAGAAAAAACTTTCATCATCATTCAATACTTTCACCATCACTCATATATAATCATTGTCTGTGTAGAGGTGCTCAGATACAATAGCTTAGTAGTAGTAGGTTGGTAATAAGCAACCGCCCAGGGAGGTATTACCGTACTGCCATGCGAGTGTAAAATGGAACCCTGTATTTGTTTTACATGATGACAGGATTGCTGGTGTCTTTTTTCTGTCTCATAAACATGTAAGATTTTAGGTACGTCTTGCTACTTCTACTTACACTTAGGTCATGTTACACATGCATATACATACACATTTAAGTATACACATTCATCTGAGTTTTCTTTGATTTTAACTTTGTAGTTCTTGTTCTTATTACTTTTCCTTTCATATCCATGGGGAAGTGGAATAAGAATCTTTCCTCCGTATGTCATGATGTAAAAGTCAACTAAAATGCCGGGAGAAATGGGCTAGTAGCCCCTTTCCCGTATAGCCTACTAAAAAGAAAATAAAACCGTCAAAATGGGATGTTTGAACATGCATAGTTGTAGTGTGATGATAAGAAAGAGATGATTGTAAGTGAAGGGGGTAGGAGAGTTTCGGTTGGGAGAAATAAATGAGATTTGGTCAGAGGTATCTAACAGAGTTAGAGCTAAGGAAGGAGTAGCAATAATGTTTAAGGATAAATTATGGCAGGAAAAAAAAGAATATAAATGTATAAATTCAAGGATTATGTGGAGTAAAAAAAGGGTTGGATGTAAAAAGTGGGTTATAGTAAGTGTTTATGCACCTAAAGAAGAGAGAAGTTTAGAGGATAGAGAGTTTGGGAAATGTTGAGTGTGTGGGGAGTTTTGAACCAAGTGAGTGTATGGTGAACCAAGTGAGTGTATGGTTGTGGTTGGGAATCTCAATGCTACAGTGGGTAAAAATGTTGTAGAGGGAGTAGTAGGTAAATTTGGGGTGCCAGGGGTAATGAAAAATTGGGAGCCTTGGTAATAAGTAATACATATTTTATAAAAAAAGAGGATAAATATGTATACAAGATATGATATAGCACGTAATGAAAGTAGTTTGTTAGATTATGTATTGGTGGATAAAAAGAGATAGATGGGACAAAAGGAAAATGGCAACAGTAAGAGAGAGAGGTGAACGTGTATAAACTAAGGGAGGAGGAAGTTAGGGTGAGATATAAGCAACTATTGGCAGAAAGGTGGGCTAGTGCAAGATGGGTAGTGGGAGGGTTGAAGAGGGTTGGAATAGTTTTAAAAATGCAGTATTAGAATGTGGGGCAGAAGTTTGTGGCTATAGGAGGGTGGGTGCAGGAGGAAAGTGGAGTGATTGGTGGAATGATGAGGTAAAAGAGAAAAAGGTAGCTTATGAGAGGTTTTTACGAAGCATAAGTGATATAAGAAAGTTGGAGTATATGGAGAGTAAAAGAAAGGTGAAGAGTGGTGAGAGTGCACAAAAGGAGAGCCTGGCCCATGGCCGGGCTCAGAGAGTAGATAAACTCTCAAAACTCTTCAAAGGTAAATGATAGAGTGGGAGATGAACTGTCAAGAAATTTTGCTGAGAATAAGAAAAAAAAATTGGAGTGAGATAAACAAGTTCAGAAAGCCTAGGGAACGATTGGATTTGTCAGTTAAAAACAGAGTAGGGGAGTTGGTAGATGGGGAGCTGGAGGTATTGGGTAGAAGGCGGGAACATTATGAGGAACTTTTAAATGCCGATGAAGAAAAGGAGGCAGTAATTTCATGCACTGGCCAGAGAAGTATAACATCTTTTAGGAGTGAAGAAGAGCAGGATGTGAGTGTGGGGAAGGTGTGTGAGGCATCACAGAATGAAAGGGGGGTAAAGCAACTGGAACTGACGGGATCAATACAAAACGTTAAAAGCAGGGGGAGTTGTAGTGATGGAGAGATTTGTATTTTTTTAATAAATGTATGAAAGAGGGGAAGGTACCTAGAGATGGGCAAAGAGCATGTATAATTCCATTATATAAAGGGAAGGGGGACAAAGGAGATTGTAAAAATTATAGCGGAATAAGTTTACTGAGTATACCTGGTAAAGTGTACAGTTATTATTGAAAGAATTTGAGGTAAGACAGAGAGCAGGATTGCAGATGAGCAAGGAGGCTTTAGAATGGGTAGGGGATGTGTAGATCAGGTGTTTACATTGAAGCATATATGTGAACAGTATTTAGATATAGGTAGGAAAGTTTTCATTGCATTTATGGATTTAGAAAAGGAATATGATCGAGTGAATAGGGGAGCAATGTGGCAGATGTTGCAAGTGTATGGAATGGGTAGTAAATTACTAAATGCTCTAAAGCGTTTTTATGATAGTAAAAGTGGGTATTAGACAGGAATGTGTAATGTCACCATGGTTGTTTAACATAGTTATAGATGGGGTTGTAAAAGAAGTAAATGGTAGGGTGTTGGGGAGAAAGGCGGGATTAAATTATGGGGAATCAAATACAAAATGGGAGTTGACAGTTACTTTTTGCTGATGATAATGTGCTTTTGGGAGATTCTAAAGAAAAGTTGCAAAAGATTAGTGGACAAGTTTGGGAGTGTGTGTAAAGGTAGAAAGTTGAAAGTGAAAACAGATCACAGTAAGGTGATGAGGGTATTAAAGGATTTAGATAAAGAAAAATTGGATATCACATTGGAGGGAGGGAGTATGGAACAAGCAAATTTTTTCAAATATTTGGGAGTTGACTTTTCATCGGATGGGTTTATGAAGGTTGAGATTAACCAGAGAACTGAAGGAAAAACAGTGAGTGGTGCATTGAGGTATCTGTTGAGACAAAGAACGTTATCCATGGAGGCAAAGAAGGGAATGTATGAGAGTTTAGTGATACCAACACTCTTATATGGGTGTGAAGCATGAGTGGTAAATGCTGCAGCAAGGAGACAGCTGTAGACAGTGGAGATGTAGTGTCTAAGGGCAATGTGTGATGTAAATATTATGAAGAGAATTCATAGTGTGGAAATTAGGAGGTGTGGAGTTACTAAAAGTATTAGTCAGAGGGCTGAAGAGGGGCTGTTGAGGTGGTTTGGCCATATAGAGAGAATGGAACAAAGTAGAATGACTTGGACAATGTACAAATCTGTAAGGAAAGGAAGGCTGGGTAGGGATCATCCCTGAAAAGGTTGGAGGGACGGGGTAAAGGAGACTTTGTGGGTGAGGGGCTTGGACTTCCAGCAAGCGTGTGTGTGTGCCAGAGAGGAGTGAATGGAAATGAATGGTTTTTGGGACCTGACAACTGCTGTTGGAGTATGAGCAGGGTAATATTTTGTGAAGGGATTCAGGGAAACCAGTTAGCCAGACTTCAGTCCTGGAGGTGGGAAGTACAATCCCTGCACTTTAAAGAAGAGGTTTGGGATACTGACAATCTGGATAGAACATGTCATCAAATATTTTCACACTTGAGTACATGATGGCTATCAGAGGCCCATAAAAAATAAAAGTACAAATATATACATTCACATATGCAAATGTTTACATGTGCAAGCTTATACACATGCACACCTGTACCCATTCTACAACCCTGTCAATAAGAGGTATGCAAATCAGAAGTATGAGTGTGTTTCTTTCACCATATGAGATATAAATTTAGTATTAGTCTCAGATTTATAACATACAAGCAATTGATTATAAGTGTAATATTACAGTTTACAGTACTTAACCCCTTAACTGTCCAAACGTAGATCTAGATCTACATTCTAACCACTAGTGCTCCAAACGTAGATCTACGTTATATTTTTCCTTCCTCCAAATTTGGCACGATTGGCCTAAGATGCCTGGTCAGCCTAGAATGGGTCTTACCCCTCGGTGTGAGCTGTATTAAAAAAATCTGAGACCACTTAGTACCATGTGGGAGCACCAGTTCAATTAAGCGCCAGCTAGAGCAAACAGCGCTGCAAACACCAAGGATTCACTGATGTCATGCTGTATTAACTCTCCCCTTTTAAAAGAAAAGTGTCATCTTGCCAGAAAGTCCTATAACCTATGCCCTAAGCAAAAAGAAACAATTCTGGAACTGTAATTTCGGCATGCTGGCTGGCCAGCTGACTAGCCGGCGACTGGCTGGCCGGCTGATTGGCTATCTCTATCTCCGTTTGTCTGTCTGTATCTATCTCTGTCCATCTCTGTCTCTATATCTGTCTCTATCTCACAGGAACACATACATAATTACAATTATACATAGTGTAAATTCCCTAGGATAACCCAAAAAATCCAGACAAAGTGCTATACTGTGCTTGTAGATAGTGATTGTGTGAAATATCAGCTGGTTCATGAGCAACTCTGAGACAGATAGATAGATAAAAAGACAGACATTTTTTTTTTTATTATTATCACACTGGCCGATTCCCACCAAGGCAGGGAGGCCCGAAAAAGAAAAACTTTCACCATCATTCACTCCATCACTG